GTACCGGACTGAAGTTATAATACAGGGCCACGCGGCGGCGCGGCGCTTTGCTCGCCTGGCGCTCTCTCGAGCGAGATAGTGTGAACTCGAACATTCCAGCTTTTCACGCATGTCAAGTGACTGCCCTCACCCCCCACCCCCCTACACTCCCCCTGGCTCACGGATTTCCCGAAGTACGCAAACATGCCAGGCGAGCAGAGTGCCGCGCCGCCGCGTGGTCCCCCCCCCCACTTAAGCACCGGTTTTTTTTTACCGAACTCATTTTTGTTGCCTCCAATAGCATTCAATCAATGGGGTAGAAAAATACCAGAGGCTCAGCTATTGTTTGCATTTTCATTCTTGTGTCAGAGCACGGACGAAAACAAAAACTTCTCGGAAAACAGTCATTTCATATGCGCGGTTGGCAAACGGAATCCGGTTGCGGCGAGATAATCCTTTAATAGGCCGTGTGTATATCGAGAGAACGGCACCAAAGATTAGTCGGCTGAGATAGCGCTAAAGGAGACCGTTGTGTCTGTAATTGAATGGCACATGCGTGGGTTGCTGGCGATTGGCCACTGCGGATGTCTTCCAATCGGGGATAAGCATGTCTTGTGCGTATCATGCGCACGCACTCGATTACCCTAAAGACATATTCTTAGGTCTGAGTGTGGATTGCGCCCTGAAATGATTGTAATAGGGTCAGTGGGTCAGCCAGTAATGAATATGTCTAGAACTCTTGAAAGCATCTTCGACGCTCATTAGCCATTGCGTCCTCTCACTGGACAGACCCTCATTTTGATACCACAAAAGCAGGAGATCACCCAGATTTGAGCAACTGCGAAGTACGCTTTTGTAAGTCAGAGTGTTAGATTTTTTCGTGATGGTTAAGCCATTCTGATAGGCAGGGTGAATATCGCTTGAGGATTCCTCAACGGCACGTCGAGGATTCTCTGCCCGATCAGACACGATCTCTCGCGCGGACATTCACACTCGCCATGGCGTGCCGTCTGTGCTCTCCGCGCGGATGTTCACTCTCGGCACTACTCTCGCATGGTAGAGAGCTATGGTCGAGGAAATCCTCGACCGTTCCTGCTGTGGCACATTGAAGGGTTTAGAAGGCATGAAGGGGGAACTTAGGTGCGTGTGACAAGGTGAGCCTGGCTCACGTAGTAATCCTAAACGACTGTTCTGTGATCAATTCATGCGCGGGTCTTAAAAAACTCTTCGTTCTATCATTGAGGCGTTTAACCCTTTCGGACCTGAATTTTTCCCCGTGGAGAAATTTTTCTTCTAGCTATTGTTTATTACTTGTGAGCATATAAGTATCATTATGGCGAAATTTGGAAGCTATTCGATCACAAACAAAGAAACTAAGGAAGCTTTGAAATTGTCCACCTTCTTAGTTTTTAAGCTTATGTCGAAACATTCGAAAACTTCATAATTTGCCAGAAGTTATAATCATTGCATCACATTATAAATATTTGATTCAGTGGATTCATTTAAGGTATTTAAAACAAGTCACACTGGCCGGTTGCGCGGGATCGCCGCCGATTCATTGTTGCACTTGTACACAAATACTTGTAATACTAACAGCAACACACAATGAAATGGCAGGTTTAGCTCATAATTAGGAAGGGGAAGGTTGACTGAAGCAACCTCTAGCAGGATTAGAAAAACCATGCTGTTTCAGCGGCAATGCAAGCGTTTGAATTTGGTGGTGGCAATTGCCACCGCCAGGGCCGAAAGGGTTAAACATGTGAGCAGGGTTCAGCCCGTGGTGTTAACGACCAGCGATGGGGTGTAAGATCTGAGTTTCTACGGGTCAATCGTCGTCGAACAAATCGAGCGGTCTTATTGCAGGAATTTGACGGAATAGGAGAAGGGTCGTTTGGTTTAGCGGTAAATTTTACTTATTGTCAAAAGATGTATGAAACGAGGCAATATAATCATTTCCCACAAAATGAAACTTTGAGTGTTTTCATGTTCTCAAAATTTGTGAGTGTCTTGAGAAGTAGGACCTCCCAAATATATCTGACCTTACACGAGCTCCAATTTACTTCTCTGAAATTTCTGCTGATGTTTTGTCAATTGAACCTTTATCGAAAGAGTACTGCTCCCCATCGCGTCTACGAATCCTTAACTTTTGCTCGTTTACCCTGGCTGATGTGAGTAGGGAGTGGTTATCGTTGTAGATTTCGAGACAATTCGCCAATTCGATGAAACTTTCTGTCAATCTCGATGTGAATCAGGCTAATTGTCGGACGAAATGATTGCGGTGATAGGATCGTGTGGTTTTCTCTCATACCATTGAGATTTTTCAAACGAACTCTTTTGCAGTGCGCATTGACGTTGTGCGTGGCTATATATCTTTTCCTGAATGGAGTCGGAATTTTTGCAGCGGGTTAAGAGTGTCGCGTCTTTTGTGTCATTTTTTTTTGGAATTTGATGTAGTCCCGCAGGCACATCATACAGCGCCATTCTGCTGTGGAGAGATGAGAGGGAACTGAGACTCGCAGCCGCGTGGACAACTTTAGATCGGTGTCAGACTTTGCGAATCTAGCGATTCGCTACTAGCAAATCGCTAGCTTCGCAAAGTCTGACACAGGCTTCGGAGGTGTAAGGGACACAGAGATGGTTTTGGCCTCGTGAAAAAAAAATGGAAATCGGCTGTGATAACAGATTGTATAACCAAGAGGTTACAGACATACCGATACGGTTTCTGAGCTCATTTGCAGGCGCTTCGAAGATATGCTCTCAAAGTGGATAAAGGGAATCGGCAGCTCTTACATACTTGCTCAGGCAGCGAACCGAAATTAAATCCTAAAACAAAAATGAATCCTACTGCAGACGATATCGCTATAAACGAAGTGAAAAGTTCTAAGTACACTCGAGGGAAACCGGGCAGGCTCTATAAAGAGGGGAAAATTGTAATAGATAAAATGGCTAATAATTAAGAAGTGGCTCACTTCGCCACTTAGTCGTACGAACCTTCTAGCGTAACATCTCATGTTCGCCATAGTGTCTGTTAGTGCCACTAAAGCAGGCGTAGGCAGTTGTCGGGACTTCGAAACACGGGTATGCCGACGACAAGCTGGATGAAGGCCCAGGGTCCAAACCTTGCGTTATTAGAGGGGCCTAGGCTTCATCTCACAAAGAAAAAAGATAAAAAGCTCATCTAACAATAACACCTCCAGTCCGCTCCTCTACGCTGTTTTGTAAAAAGCAGGATTCATATTCTGCATGGGTGCCTATTTTTGCTTCTCAGTTAAGTTTGACTAAGACAATGGGTGTGCGATATGTCTCCGTAGGCCAAAATTGCTTGGGGGTATTTCGAAAAAAAAAACAGGATGCATATTTCGCATAGATGTCTAATTTTGCTTGTCATTGTCAGTGGTAGAAATTATGATCAATTATAACTTCTTGTGGTTGCCTTCCCTCAAACTGTATTCAAAATAAGGAGCAAACTCGGTCAGAGGCAAATCTCCTCCTGAATCTGTTGACGAAATCATGTGGACAATCTTGTTTTTTTGGTGGTCCTGTTCTATCAAGATGGCGTTTGGCAACATCGTAGAAAAGTCGCAGTGGTGTAATAGACCCAGCCTAACTTCCCAGAGTGAAGTGTGCCCATTCATTCTTTGATAGATTACAATCGAATATAAATCTGGTTGATACTGCTTCTTGTTCAGTTACACGTCACTTATGGACAGTCCACGTCTGAGTGCCTTTTTAATTT